TATCAAGGTAACGATAGGGATTAAGGGTAAAGATAGGAGCCTGGAGTAAAGATAGGGATCTGGAGTAGAGATAGGATAGAAAAGAAACGGGGAACGGATGGAGGATAAGTAGGAAAAGTGAAGATAGGGAGGCCTGAAATTTCATTTTGAATTTTTTTCTGACACCTCCACACCTGCCAGCAGGTTATGCTGCAGGTCACTTCAGTACAGGTCCCAGCCGCGCCTCTTAATTTATTGCACAAACTCAACATTCAACGCAGCCACGCCTCTTAATTTATTGCACAAACTCAACATTCACGAAGAATTTAAATGAGTTTGCAATTTCATGACACATTTTAAACGCGCATTATAATATATAAAACTTTTTCCTGGACACAAAGTCTTGGACATTATAGTTCTATGATTTTTCATATAGATATGATTGTTTTGTAATTGTCGATGTTGAAAGGATCAATATAATTATAAATATACACTGCTGTGGCGGGAAGAAACTAATTCACAATTCAGCAATGAATTATCACGAGGAGATAAAATAAATAGACATTTTGTAAGTGGACATAGGCATACAGATAAAATAAATAGACATTTTGACATAAAAAGACATTTAGACATAAAATAGACATTTTGTAAGTGGACATAGGCATACAGATATCAGTCATTCCTATGCCTATGATCGTTCATAGGACGAGAAATTCTATAGACATACGCAAACATAGAATGTTCAGTACTGAAGAAGAAAGTATATTGAGCTTGTCTTAACCACAACTTTTCCCCAGCACCAAACATCCAGACACCTTAGGTATTTACCATATATTATATATTGTGGAACTATATATTATAAAATATTTAATAATATACGTATCATGTCATATATAACCATATACTCAACAAAATATATCCATATACACAATCACATATTACACCTTATATATGACTATCTAATCTACCAAATATAACCCTATTTTATGCCATTTGTAACCATATATCATACCATATACAGCCATAAAGTAAAAAACAACATCTAAGAACATCAACATAACAATGCAAGCCTCAACATGCAGCGTCGCAGCGCATGCGCACGGCGCCTAAAAAAAACAAAGGACACGCGCGGCCCCTCGGGGGAGGAGGAGGGGGCGATAAGCGGCCCCTCCCCCCTCTCTTTCCCATCGCCCCCCCCTCTCTCCCATCAACCATTCACATGCACGAAAATCTTTACTTGAAGTTGAATTTCATCTCATGAATGTAGCCGTCGACTCATACCTTACCGTGGGAGGAAAATTATAGGCGATTTATGTGCGGCCAGTGGAATGTTTGGACTCGCTTACGACATCCTTTATCAATGATATACAAACATGAGGATTAAAACTGCGCTAGATTTGCATAATACTTTAAAATATGCATCACATTATCTTCAGCCGTAAAATCAGTTGGTCATCTCATTCAGTATAAAAATATTTTTTAAATTCCTGGGCACAGTGGTTTCTTATTTTCTGAAGTTATATCTCTAGAAGTGAAGGTAAATCTTCTTGCGGGAGTTTTTATCTCACTTTCTCCCTCGCAAAACAATTCTATATGCTTGAATTGTCCCACAAGTGGGAGTTTCCCCACGTAGTTGCGTCTACGTGGGATTTTGTAGGCGCCCAAATGGGATCACTTTCACAGCTCGGGCACCGCCCCCCGGTTTGGGGAGTGGGGAGTGGGCCATCGGTCAAAACATTCAACTAATAATTTAAGAGCAAATAATAAATTCGACTATATCTTATTCACCATCGGTAGACATTTTGAGGCCAGATTTCCAGAGCAAAAATAATTAAAAAAAATTACTTACCTCAAAATACTTAAAATCAAACGACAGATTTTCTCGGCATTTTGTTAGCAATGATATACTTGTCTAATTTTTCGATATTATTTCAGTTCGACCTTTTAATCGACGTTTTCCTTCTTATTTTCGAATAAGACTTAACTCCGCAACATTATCTAATATCTTAGGCAACTATCAACTCACAATGCAGATTAGTTTGATCAACTTTGTTTGCGGACAGTGCAAAAAAGTGCAAAAAATCAGAACAATTCCACGAGTGTTTTTATTATTATTCTTCACAAGTTTTACCTATAATAATTAAAAATATTTCTGACTAGGAACTCACTAAAAATCAGTGTCATTCAATGCCAACACACACTCTCTTAACACGACTGATCACATAATATTTCGGTGAACGCTCGTACGGTATTAACACGTTACTTGCCACCTCTACTGTCACTTGCTACCTCTACTGTCACTTGCTACCTCTACTGTCACTTGCTACCTCTACTGTCACTTGCTACCTCTACCTCTACTGTCACTTGCTCCCTCTACTGTCACTTGCTACCTCTACTGTCACTTGCTCCCTCTACTGTCACTTGCTACCTCTACTGTCACTTGCTACCTCTACTGTCACTTGCTACCTCTACAGTACGTGAAATTAGGTACAGCTTCCTGTACAGAACTTATAAGTAGGAAAGAGTGTAGGTACTATTTATACAGTACATAAACTAGTCTTTGCCTCATCCTTGGCCGCCTAAAACACGGACAAGTCTGGAACGCGGAATTGATATTGGACAATTCAAGGCTCCTAAGTGCTGGCCTAAGCGCCATAAAAAACGTTCAATATTTCAAACAATTGCTTCTAGTCCTGAGCTCACGTACAACACTCGGTGATCATTCGTTAATGATATTACTTCGTTGCAATGTCATTACATCAGCTTATGATACTTCATTGTAAAATCATTACATCAGTTGATCATTCCATCAGCTTACAATACTTCATTGTAATGTCATTACATCAGCTGCCCTCTACCATTCGACAGTTGAAAGTATTCGTTTAAATTCTAACATTTAAATGTCAAAATTCACGTATGTATAGCTACTTAAGTACGAACAAGAATAATTGAAGAGCTCAGTATTACTAAGTAAACTCAGGTAGAGATAACATAAATGTCGTCTGCATAAGTTAGATAAACGAATGCACCTTCCTCACCGAGCGGGGATTAGGCGATGCCTCGAATTCTTATCCAACAGGTACAAAATATTGCCCAACTCTAGTCCCTAGCTCTCTTCCCCACCGCACATCCCACTCTCTTCCCCCAACTCTCTTCCCCACCACACATCCCACTCTATTCCCTAGCTCGCTTCCCCACCGCACTTCCCACTCTCTTCCCCAACTCTCTTCCCTACCACACATCCCACTCTATTCCCTAGCTCGCTTCCCCACCGCACTTCCCACTCTCTTCCCCAACTCTCTTCCCCACCGCACATCCCACTCTCTTCCCCAACTCTCTTCCCCACCGCACATCCCACTCTCTTCCCCAACTCTCTTCCCCACCGCACAGCCCACTCTTTTCCGCCAACCCTCTTCCCCACCGCACATCCCACTCTCTTTCCTAGCTCTCTTCCCCACCACACATCCCACTCTATTCCCTAGCTCTCTTCCCCACCACGCATCCCACTCTATTCCCTAGCTCTCTTCCCCACCACACATCCCACTCTATTCCCTAGCTCTCTTCCCCACCACGCATCCCACTCTATTCCCTAGCTCTCTTCCCCACCACACATCCCACTCTATTCCCTAGCTCTCTTCCCCACCACGCATCCCACTCTATTCCCTAGCTCTCTCCCCCNGTACTGCGTGGGGTACTGCGTGGGGTACTGCGTGGGGTACTGCGTGGGGTACTGCGTGTAGTACTGCGTGTAGTACTGCGTGTAGTACTGCGGCAACAGAGCTGTTTAGCGGCGGTGAGAGCAGGAGTAACATTTAGCAAAGTTTAGTCGGTCACTGTAGCTGTTGTTGTTGTTTTTGCTGTTGTCATTCCTTCTCCTGATAAGGATGTGGTTTTGTTGTTGCTGTTGTTACAGTTGATGTTGTTGCTACTGCTGCAATTGTTGCTAATTTTGTTGCAATTGTTGCTGCCGTTGTTGCAGTTGTTGCTGCTGTTGTTGCAATTGTTGCTGCTGTTGTTGCTATTGATATTGCTGTGGTTAATGCAATTGTTGCTGCGGTTTTTACAGTTGATGCTGCTGTTGTTGCTGTTGTTGCAGTTGATGTTGCTGCTGTTGCATTTGATGTTGTTGCTGCTACCATTCTACCGCATCAAGACCAGGAATTAAGCCGTAACATTCATTACATATTTCCAACAAATCCGGAAGTTATTCGGTTTATTCAATATAATCTGATTGAGTTTATAATGTATCAAATGATATAAGGTTGATACAGCAATATTGTATCCAACCTCCTGACTTACTTGAGAAAAACATATCATCAACAATGGTGTAAAAATGAACATCAATAACGTGTTAAAGAAATAAATAACGTTGTTTGCCACTCCTGGCATCATAATTTCAGTTAACATTATTACATTGTTCATAGACTCAAAAGTTACTAATAACATCGATAGTTCAAGTAAAATTAAACCTAAAAATGCAGATATATTCCCCAGTTGCTAGGGGATTATCTGGAGCTGCAAGTGTGGTGTGATCGCTGCTAGCTTTTTTGATGCAAAAACCGAACGCACTTTCGACGCGCCGGAGGGACACGAAAGCAATGCTATTGCTACCTAAATTCTAAATCAATTTTTTACTGAATTGAGTTGGAATTCAAGCGATTTCAACAGCCATGATATCCCTACTTGCATTGCTACGTTGCTACAGAACTTAAACTTCTCCACCGATTGCACTACGACTGCATAGTTTTCCACACTAAGTTTTTTACCTCATCCGCTTCTCCTACTGCCAATCTTCCCTTCCCCTTTCTCCCTCTCCTTTCTCACTCCCCTTTCCTCCATCTCCCTTTCACACCCCTTACTCCCTCCCTCCCTCTCCGTCTTGTACACACAGACTCCAGAAACTCCAGAAATAAAAAAAGGAAACTGCGTCTGAAGTGAAAGTGGTCCGCTGCCTGCATGGGAAATGCTCAAAAAATGGCATCTTCGTGTATATGGCGGCACGTGTCCCACTCGTGGCTATAATGGGCCCCAAATGCCCCATACGTGACGTGGATATTATGGGCCCCTCGTGTCCCACTCGTGGATATAATGGGCCCCAAATACCCCCATACGTGTCGTGGATATTATGGGCCCCGCGTGTCCCACTCGTGGATATAATGGGCCCCGCGTGTCCCATTTGCGGAAATTATGGGCCACGCGTATTCCACGCATCACAGGAATGTACAAACTTTATAGATGCATCAGTTGCATCGGCTGCACCTGATGCAGTATTTCATCAGCTGTAGTGCAGCCATCAGCTGAACATGAGGTGCCGCACAGGAGGCATTTTTTGCCCTCGTTAATTGAGAGCAAGAGGGGAAAAACGCAGAGATATGCAGGGGCGGTCGCAGCTGTTGATTGCAGCTGTTGATTGCAGCTGTTGGTTGCAGCTGTTGGTTGCAGCTGTTGATTGCAGCTGTTGATTGCANTATTTATTCATCGCAGTTAAGCTAGAAATAATATAATATTAATCCTATACTGAATTTGATATATTAATTGCCAAGATGTGCTAGAAATACGTTTATTAATTAAATTTAAATGATTTCATTAATTTATTCAGGCGAATTAAATGAATCAATCAGGATGTTGATTAAATATTTGCTTGTTGAGTTATTGTCTGAATTATTCCTTATTAAATTTATGTTAGAATTATCGTTTGTAAAGTTATAGTTTTAATTATCGTTGGTCAAGTTGATGCTTGACTTATTTTTCTTGAACTCCAATTTTTAACAATCATTCATCAAGTTATTCTTAGATAAATTAATCTTTTTCATGTCATCGTTTTAATTAATGCTTGTGAAGCTCAATTTCAATTAATCAATTTAATCAAATTAACTAAATGAATCAATATATTAAACTAAATTCAATTGAATTAATCAATTTAATCAGATTAAATAAATGAATCATTAGATTAAACTAAATTGAATTAAATTAATCAATTTAATGAGATTAAATAAATGAGTCAATATATTAAATATTACAGAGGTGTTCCAAGACCACCTATGCTACTTCTCTCTGAACGGCGACTCCGGGGTCATTGAGTCCCCCTCGTACCCCGCCCCCTACGCCGTGTCCCGCGACTGCTGCTACGATATACGCNTTTTTAACTGCATTTTTACTGTGCAGTGGAAGCACTGGACGTGGGGCTGGTCGCCCCCGGTGGAGGCTGTGCCACAGACTTCCTCAGCCTGCCGTCCTGCGCGCCGGAAACTGGGACAAGAATCTGCGGTAACAACACAGGACAAGTTTGTGAGTTGACATGTTCATTAATATATGTTGATAAATTAGGCTATGAATAAATAAATCTATTATGTCATTCTATGTTGATGAATATGCATGCTTACGGAAACAATTGAAAATGCAACAAATTAACTTAATTATTTTCTGGTTCAAATTTTTGAGTCCCGAAAAGTTTAAGTTTTAATTTTGTTACTTGAAGTTCAATTAAAAAGAATATTGAACATTATGCGAAACCTACAATACGTTTCGATAAATTGATTATGAGTGGAAGAATTAAACTGACAGTGTCGGCTGAATTTTTATGAGAGTTTTGTTTACGAATTAAACTTTGCATTTAATTAGATTTTCGAATAAATTTATTTTGCTCTTCATTAGAAAGTGCATGAAGTAAATTTTTAATATTTTATATAATTCACTCGTCTGTGGACACCTAGAAATAAAATGCGTGTAGCCTCTCGTCGAAACGCTCACAATTTTTTCTAGTTTTATTTTATTTGATAGTTAAGTTTGTTATCATTTGTTATTATTTGCAGGATTCTCACATGGACTTTTTCTTCATTTCTAAAAGAATTTATTTTAATTTTCAGACGAGTATCTTTACCAACCAAATGCACAGAGCATTAGGTTCTTGTTCCACACAGACGACATACGAGCGGGCCACACAGGCTTCCGTATTAGGTGTGTATATGGCAGAGAAACATCGGCACACAAATGTTGAATTTGTTTTAAACATAATGTTTGGTTTTTTTAATTGGAGGGAAATAATTATTAAGAGAAATTATTAAACGAAAATAAAAATACAATGCCAGAAAATAATGTCAATGATAATATACATATATAAACTAAAACATCAGAACACATTTGGTAAAACATTATATTATTGTGCCCAAACATACTGTACAGTGTACAACATCCATGTATTATTTGTATAGTTAGGCAGGAGTAGTTCTTTAACGCAGATATCTTATTAACAAATTTATTATTGGTATTTTTAATATGAGAGAATATCAATAAGAAACATATTGATAAGAATCACTACCTGGTCTTCAACAAAACCTTCATTAAACATGTATGTAATCACAATTATTTGTGTTTAATATTATTTTTTAATATAAAGTCACGATAATCCATGCTATTGAATATAATGCGAAAATAAATAGTTCTAATAATCCAAGTTATATTACACAATATGATTATAATAATAATGTATACTTACATTACACCTTGTAGTAATAAATAATATTATAAAATAAACTTGCAATAATCCGCATTATACCACATAATAATTATATAATATACTTACAATATATCCGTGCCTATAGGTACACACAGCTGCGCTCGTGTCCGGGTCCCTACCAGACCCAGAGTCCCCCAATCTCCCCCATCCCAGGGACGGGCCGGTCCCCATGCTACACCCGTATTAATGACCTCTCTGGGTCCATCAATACCCCATACTTCCCCAAGTTCTACCCCAACAACCTGGACTGCGTCTACGAGTTTGTCAGGTTCACAAAGTGTCTTCAATTCTTTCCTATATTGTCCTATATATATTTTCCTTTATTCCTATAGCAATATATTCTGGGAGAAAATGCAAACGATTATTAATATCATTCACATGATTAACAGTCATAATGATTACTTGAAACATTACATGCTAAATCTCATCGAAGTTCATTCTAAAGTTTATAGGTCAGAGACTCAGAGTGTAGCTTTGTCTAACCAAAGTTAAATATAAAGTTTAATTGTCAAATTACTACTTCAAAAATTAGCGGCAAAACTTTATCAAACTAGAAGATAAAATTTATTGCAGGGCAGGGTTGCCCAGTGGTTACAGTTCAGAGTACCAATATTGGCGCAGAGAGTTGCGGGTTCGATCCCAGCTCTGTGCGCCAGTTTCTGGTCAGAATCGGCAAGGAGGCCGGGCGGTTAAGCACAGCAGAATTGTAGCAGTGAGTTGCGAGTTCGAGACCGCAAAATAATGTGAATGTTCAGCGACGTTAAGAATCGGCGACAGTCCTACGGCCTAATAAACGCTGAAACCGCTATTATTATTATTTATTATTATATTAATTTCAATGCTCCTGCGCAGAGCGAGTCCTGCGTTCTGCGGCCTGCGCATGCAGCGCGTTCAGTTCGAGCTCTCGCCGCCCCTGCAGACAGTCTTCGGTGGAGCCTGCACAGACTTCCTGCACCTGCCATCCTGCGGATTCCTGTGCGGCGATATCGACTTTGCCTGTGAGATCCACAGCACGATCCTTCATGATATATAAATCGTAGTGTTATGCAAACATGTGTTTGATTGCAGGATGTACAAGACATGCTAATATTTACCGACACTGTTGGAAATAACGGTGGAAATATGGTCAAACTGGCGTTTTGATTGCCGGCCGTAACGTGAAATTCGAAATTCATTTGTTAACGTACATAAAAACGGTTACGTTGTTTTATTTTACTAGATGGTCGGCCACTAAAACGCCGGTCATACTGTTTTCCAGCGTTTTCTCGCCGTTTTTTTCGAAATTTGCAATTTCAAATTCGGAAACTTAAGAACGATCTGAAAAGCCTGGGCAAATTCTTACAATATTATATGATTAGGCCTTGTACGTTGGTACCCACGACCACATGCAGTGGTGCACCGCATTTAAAAACCGTATTAAATTATTTTTATTTTTTTATTAAATTATTTAAATTTGTTAAATTTGATTAAATTTAAACTTATGAAACTCATTTGATACAAGATAAATGTAGGCAAAATTTACGATCTGATTTGGAAGACATGTACATCACAGTCAACGGCCTCGCAGATGCATCGCATTACAACAATCCTTCTCGTGACTCCTGATGGACAGTTGCGTATCCTAAATACTCACTAGACCACACATAGGACGCACAGCAAATTTTGACATATACTCAATAGATAATATATTGAAGGATGCCTCTTAAGGATTCTCGTTTTCACAAGTTTATTTCCCTCAGGGATTGTTGAATTTCAACCTGGAGCGACCAGCCTCAAGTTTCATTTCCACTCCGACGAAGAAGCGAGATTCAACGGCTTCAGGATTACCTTCGAGCAAGTCACGCAGTGCTGATACTGTTAATTACCTTCGAGCAAGTCACGCAGTGCTGATACTGTTAATTACCTTACTTGTAAATCAGACGAATGGCTGTCTCAGAAACAGTAATAGTATTGAACTAGTATGACTTGAATGAATGAGCGGCATCTCTGAGTTATTCACTATTAAATAAATGTATGCGCTAGTGACAATGTTTTGTAGCATAAAGAATAACTATGTTGATTTAGTAACATCATTGTAGTTTTGTAGTGTGAAGTCGTACATCCGAACCTAAAAGACACATCGCGTGGCTGCGAGAGCCGCCCAATAAGCAAGGTCATTTTACGCTAATGAGATTCACATCAAATAACGATAACTTATCAATAAATTCTTAAATTACACTGATATTAAGGCAGTGGATGCCATCAAGATAATGTGCATATCTCAGTTAAGAAAGACTTAATACTCACAGTTTTAAGTAAACATTAAAACAAAGATATTCAGCTTTCAAGTTTTCAAGTGCGTTAAGAAGGCTGGACTAAAGGTAATTGTAATCAATTACGAAGTTGATGTTAGGCTTCGCTTTTTTTCAAGTAAACCTTTACCTACATTGTATTTTGCTCAAAATCATTAGTAATCTTTGACTTATCTTAAATTGAATGAGTGTTTAAGTTGAGAAAAATGGAATGTCTTGAAACGCTTATGAAGGAAATAAAACGTTAATAAATATTATCGTCGAAACTCGTGAAACGAAATCGTGCCAAACTAAAGATAAAAATTTATCTAAACTGTAGATTTAAGTTTAGATAAATGAAAAAATCTCAGAAATCACGCACGTGATTTCTGGGTGTATTGCTTTTTTTTAATATTTCAAATATATGTAAAGTAAGCAATTGTAGAACGTCAGTTACAGCTTACGGCGTACACGGAGCTCAAGATAATGGACAAATCAGAAAAATGGATGGATCAAATTGTTCAAATCGTGACACAATTTAGCCCCGTAGCACTGATACGCCCCATCGCCGTGCCATACTGGGCCAGAATGCCCAACACATGGGCAACACGTGCATCGCCTTACGGACAAAGGCCCACTCATTTGTATGAGTATCACACGAAGTAACGTCGATGTCGTCGACAAATACGTCGTGATCTAATAATGTCTAATAATAATGTGATAACAGGGGTTATCAAACTGGGGTAAATTACCTTAGAAGTAATGTTCGAATTTCCCAGAGGGTAATGGAGGGTCGACATCGAAATTCAACACTGGTAACATTTGTGAAAAGGCAACATTCATATTGTGCTGTTGCAAATAGGGTAAGAAGAAGAAAATTTTTTGAAATCAGTGCCTTAACTAATGTAGTTAAAGTACTTATTTAAAACATTCTTTCATGCCGGTCAGTGGCGATGCAACTGCCGGGAAGTGACGTCATTCCATGTAATGTTATTCATAATAAAGTAGCAGCGCTATTTCATAATTTTTATTCTCTACCTACTTCGATATTAAAGAAGTGCGACACACAAATGAATGATCATAAACAGGGGGTCCTGATTCCAGATCTATGAATGATCCAAAATAATGGAATGTTTCTGAATAAATGAATTAGCCTGAATTTGTGAATGGTCCTAAATTAGGAATCGTCAATAAAAGAATTATCTTAATATAAAGGAGGTCCTGAAATTGGAATGATGCTAGATTTATAAATGATCCTAAATAAGGGGAATGTATCTGAATAAAAGAATTGGCCTAAATTTGTGAATGGTTCTGAAGGGAATCATCCTCAATAAGAGAATGATCATAAATAATTAAGATAATCATCTAGAATAAGAGATGAAGATGAAAAGTCAATACTGAAACGGAGCGACAACTTAATATTGTTTGCTTTTCTTTAGGAAATTTATTGCAAAATTTCTGCTTCTGTAATTGTTTGAACGCCAAAATCTTCTGAACGCTATAAAAAAATCGGTTGCTAAATAAATAAATTATCTTCAATTAAAATTATTTATAATCGATTTAATGCTTAAACGGCCCGTCATAGATACAAGGAATCGCTGTGGGAACGGAAGTTTTAATACAAATTTAAAAATGTAATTTCTTCATCATGATTTGTAAGCCTAGAAATATCAACTCAATCCGAACAGCGTTTACTTCCTGCTTGTATTTCCGAGTCTAAATTTAAGCTAATTCTACCAATTCTTCCCTTGAATAAAAAAGTTTTGAATAAATATGAACTTTGAATAAAAGTAAACACTTATAATTTTATTTCTTCTAAAAGCTGAGCTTTTATGCGATATTCTCATGTACCCTGACTGCCTTCAATTAAGTACAATGTACTATTTATAAAGACGTTATTTTTTTGAAAAAAAGTGCCCGGAAAGTTCCCAATTTTATAGGGTCAGCAGATTTAATTTAAAATATGCATTAATTATGGGTTAATTTGAAATATTATGGCACGATATTCGAAAATCGTTATTTTTCTTACGCAAAAAATGTCAAGAAAATTCACCAGTTTACAAAGGAGAAATTTTTTATTTAAAATGTTGTTTATTCATTGCGAATTTGTTTTCTTTTTAAGGTAATTTAAATGTGAAATTAAATTCATTTTTTAAATAATTGTGATCGGTTCTTTTTCTTTAGGCCAATCACAAGCTCTCATACTCGGCTCTCTTACAATTATAATTAATAATTATTTTAAATATACCTAATATTTTCTCGATTATAACAGATATTTCGATACCATATTAGAGTGATTATTATTCACGAATTATTACAGAGAACTTAAATGTAGAATAATGCTGATTGAAAAAAAATTTCAAAACGAACTCGTTTTCAGCGCAAGCCGGTTACAAAGATCTTTTTCACCAAAATCGAATACATGAATTTCGCTTAAAGTTTCTTGACGTTGTCTTCTCAGGAGGAAAATACGCAAATTTGTTTGTATTTCTGGCGGAAATGAAAAGAAGGTAATTTTTGGTTGGCATGAGCGGCTACGTCACCTGCAGTCTTGTCCGCTGATATTCAGTTTCCGGCGATGCTTAGGAGGCGGAAATTGGGCTCGGTATGGTGGCCAGAGGTTGCCAGATGGGCTGAAATGGCCTACAGTCCGCGAACGAAAAAGGCCAAAAAAGGCCCACCGTACAATATTTACCAGTACATTTTTAGGCTGCGGTGCAAAAAATCTATTTTGGTTGTAATATATAAAATACAATTAGGACAGAAGGACGTTGATAGAATTTAAGTACGAATAACTTTGGCAACAGTTCACTCATCTGTTGATATGTAATTAATTCATAATTATCGCTCAAATTTGTAAAAACTTTTGCCCAAGCCAATATTGGCCATGATGGGAGAACATATTTTTTAGTTTTCTTGGAAGAAACACAATATTGAAGTATGTACAGAGTATTAAACCGAAATTTTGCTGATAAATGAGCACACCGGTCTCCCGTTTATTCTACCATATATTTTTTCATTTATCAAATCTTCATTTACCAATTATTTATAATTAGTCCACTTTCCTGCTTTCCGCGCACTCACAAATTCGATAATTCAACAGTGCCTTATTAAACATCTGACTCATTTTCAAGTGTATGTACACACATGTTTAGTCATTCATTTCTGTTTGTACTCACATATTCATTCATTTACCAGCGCATGTACTCACATATTCATTCATTTACCAGCGCATGTACTCACATATTCATTCATTTACCAGCGCATGTACTCACATATTCATTCATTGCTGCGTAAAAAACCTACAATTTAGTAAAGTTGCTGCCTTGCGCGAAACTTCACTCCGGATGTTTCGGTCGCGCCGGTACAGCGCCCGCGGTACAGAACCAGATAAGAAAACGAAACGTTGGTAATTAGTGGTAATAACTCCTGCCTTTCTTTGTCAACACCTCAACCACTACTCAGACACCTCGTCTATTTGTTTATGTTGACGTGCATGGTGGTGGTGCAAGGTGGTGGTGCATGGTGGTGGTGCATGGTGGTGATGGGTTGTGACGTCACAATTGGGTCTTTCCCGTCACTTTCACAGCGAGACGAGACGTTTCCCTGCCATTTTTTTGAGTCCCGCTTCCTGTTTTTGCTGAAGATATTCGAATATATTAGGAGGACCTGCAGCGCCCTGTTGCCAGACTCGCTCGAGAAACTTTACGAGGAAGACTTCGTCTTTGTAAGCTCCTCGAGAACATTTGTTTTATATTATTTATTGTGAATCTTCGTTACCGTTACAAGTAATCTGCGTTACCGTTACAAGTAATCTGCGTTACCGTTACAAGTAATCTGCGTTACCGTTACAAGTAATCTGAGTTACACTTACGAGAACAAATCAAAGTCGTCACCGGAGCTGTTGAAGCAACTTCGCGATTCACTCTTCATCCAGTCTTCAAGTATTCAAAATATATTCCTGCTCCTAGAAAATCTTGGTGGATATTCATAAATTTTCGAGTAATTCTAGTATTCAAGTGATTCTTGAGGAATGGTACTAGGAGGAACAGTCGGACCCATGCGTCACACGGACGTTGCACGCGATGTAAGTTCTGTCTCTTATACACATCTAGATGTGTATANTACGTGAACTTATGCCGCTACGTGTACTTAGACCGCTACGTGAACTCATGCCGCTACGTGTACTTAGACCGCTGCGTGAACTTATGCCGCTACGTGTACTTAGACCGCTACGTGAACTCATGCCGCTACGTGTACTTAGACTGCTGCGTGAACTTATGCCGCTACGTGTACTTAGACCGCTATGTGAACTTATGCCGCTACGTGTACTTAGACCGCTACGTGAACTTATGCAACTACATGTACTCAAAAGCGAGTTCTGAAAGCCAGGCAGAGAAGCATGACACCAGATACATGAAACAAGAGAGAAATAAAAATTCTTACACTAATGCATGCAAATCTTAATGAAATTTCAGTTTGTAATGAAATGATGCTTACGGCCACTCAGTCCGGCAGCTCTTTCATCATTTTGTGAAACTTTAGAGTAAATTAAAGCTAGTATATAGCACCTATAGCATGAACCAATTGAAGCTAGTATAGTACCTATGGCATCTACCAATTGAAGCTAAAATATTACCTATAGCATTTACCAATTAAAGCTAGAATAGTACTATAGCATCTACTAACTAACGCCGGAATAGTACCTATCACATCATCCGCTTAACTATTTTTGAGAATACGGCCGCTGATTCATAACTAAATGCTTTCAAAATGAACTCGCGTGCCGGAAATGTTCAAAAGTATGAAGCTAGGACAGTGCAAAGCTAGGGCATACAGACGGCATGTGCGTGCACCGACCATTAGCTTGCATTGTGTAGGGGAGATGTGCGAAGAGTACATGTGAACTGCATTTACAGTACAAATATATACACCGCAACTATCGCTTAACCATATTCTGCATGGTAGCTGGCGTTATTATATAACTGCGTACTCCTCATACACTAAAAATATTCTCGTTATATTCTTGCATGCTTCTATAGCCAATGGATCATAAGTTTAACCGTCCGCTGATGTTAAAAAGTGCGTTGAGCGAACACTGAAAAAAATCGACGGGCAAAAAGGTTAGTGTTAGGCACAAACTTATTCACAGTACAGCACAATCTGGCCTAACAAACGTCCAGTGAATGAACACAAGTTCTACGAATTCACCCTCAGTGACCCTTTGAGAAAAAAATTTCAAGCAATATTACTTCCTTCATGAAGTCGCAGAGGTTGTAAACGACCATTATACTCGTATATAAGCCACTATTTTGTTTAATAAAGATACACTTTAAAATTCTTAGAATGGATAGGCGGAAATACTCTGTAAAGTTATTGTTCGATGTGTTAAAATTTAAAAATGATAAATAAAGTTTTTGTAAGATATTTATGTCCCATTGCTCACGATTAAAGACAGATTGCGTCGCAGTGCAGAGATAGCAACAGTGTGGGCAACAGGCGCGCTTACTGTTATTCCTGTTACTGCAGTTGTTTGTTATTCTGGGAACTGAAACTAGGGCTTATGATTCTTAGAAGCTAATCATGAACTACGCTGACCTTTTATTAAGAGCACGCATGTTTTTTTGAGGCACTGCAGCATAATTCGATGTAACAGGAGTGTAATTCAACTTTATTCATTGAATAGTGAAAAAAAATTCGAGTCGCAAGAAAAATATCAGAGTACTCAGAATAATCTTAGAATCGTGAGAATACAATAAGAGAAACTACCATAAAAGTTTTACAATACTTGAACCTTGCTACTTATAAGTTACAGTAATAAGAATAATATACATTAATAACGCGTTCAATCATCGCACATTAATTGTCATGTAGCAGTACTGTCTTGATAACAATGACTTCTTTACACTGTAAGATGAGTAACCGTGAGGTTGACGTACTATCTTCACTACCGCGACTCAATAATATTATTACAATTTAACTAAAAAGTTAGTTTTATTTTCGCAGTTGGCCTTCAGAGGCCGAGGGTGCAAGGGCATTTCGTGCTGCTACTGGCCGGCGAGTCCAACCAGGTACTGAAGCTGGTGCAGCGTGCTGCTGGTGCTGCTGGTGCTGCTGGTGCTGCTGGTGCTGCTGGTGATGCTGCATACATCATCCAGAAAGGCTATCGATCCGCGGACAACAACAATGATGGTGAATAAACGAGTTTTATTAGATGAGTCAATTGCTTTCTCTTTGCTTTGTATTATGAGTAAATTTGAGCCTTTGTACCGTCCGTGCAATTCAGACAAATGAGCGAGACTTTTTCGAAATATCGATGTCATTTTTGCTTTTGCTTGGGTCATCTAGAACTAGTTTTGCGTGCAAAATTACGTGTTTTTTTGCAATGCTGTGGGTAAGAGAGCGCGTCACTATTAGGACAATATGAGCCATTCATTTCTCTGATTATGAAAATTCGTTTACTGTTTCTTCTGAACGTGATAGAAACATTCAGAGATAGCGCACGTTCACAAACTTAATAGCACGATTTTAACACTAGGTAAATTATTATTATTTATTTTACAACATTATTTTGATAATCGGCGAGTTCATTTTTCTTCGTGTGCCTACCGGGTTTTGTTTCTATTAAACTTGAGTAATTTTCTAATTAATTTTTCCAAACTACTAAAATTTTGATTTAAAATTATAGCTTGAAAATTTGGAAATTGTAAAATTTACATTTTCGACTCCGTGTATTGACATCAAGTTATCAATATTAGTTGTGATGATAGTTTATTAACCATTTCTTAAATTTAAAATTTCGACTCCGTACATAAACATCAAGTTATCAATATTAGTTGAAGTGATGATCGGTATTAACCATTTCTTAAATTTAAATTTTCGACTCTGTGTATAAACATCAAGTTATCAATATTAGTTGTGATGATAGTTTATTAACCATTTCTGAACTTAGAATGCATGGTCGTGACGAGTTACATCACGTCCCCTCGCCTCCCCTCATCCCCCGTCCTCGTTACCGTCGAGAGCCTCCACCACAGAGGAGCCTTCGTCACCTCCCCCACCAGGGGGCAGCTTGCGGTCCAGGTAACCAAATTAAATTATGGTCTTGATTACGCCACTTAATAATAATAAACGATGGGGAGCATTAAATACTATTATTTATCTCTATTAGTACTATAAAATTTTATATGTACAATATATTAATTAACAATATGTTACACGATTTACATATTAATAATAAACGATGGTAGCGTAAAATATTATTATTTATCTATATTAATACAAAAATAAATTATATATAATATATTATTTAAAAATATTTTACGCGACTTAATATTAATAAACAATGGGTAGCATTGAATATTATTATTTATCTATATTAACACTATAATATATTATACATAATATATGAATTAATAATATTTTACGCGACTTAATAATAATAAACGATGGGTAGCGTTAAATATTATTATTTATTTATATTAATACAAAATATTTTACGCGACTTAATAATAATAAACGATGGGTAGCGTTGAATATTATTATTTATCTATATTAATACAAAAATAAATTATATATAATATATTATTAATACTTTATGCGACTTAATAATAATAAGCGATGGGTAGCGTTATATATTATTATTTATCTATAATAATACAATAATATGTTATATATTCAATATATTACCTACTAATAATAAACGACCTACTAATAATAAACGAAGGGTTGCGTTAAATATTAAATAAATATATATATACGATGTCGATACGATATACGATGTATATATATACGAGGTATATATTTACGATGTAAATATATATACGATGTCTTTGAATACGATGAATAAAATTAATAATTAATGAAAAAAGAATAATAATGATTTAAAAAAGTGTTGAATGGTTAGATCCCACCTGAAGATAAATAACGTCGAAATGACGTTGAAATAACGTTCAATCGAGGTAATGTCAACATTACAACGTTAATTCAATGCCAGATGCTTAATTGAATGTTACTCGCGAATATCTCAATGTTATGAAAAAATATACGCAAAAATAATTCATATAAGAGTGAAAATAAAATGTTCGTAAAATTGTAGCCGAGTTAGGAAAAGTACACATTTTTCGAACGAATCTAAGGCAAACAAGTACTTTCTATAATTACAATAGTACCGTATTATTTATACGGTACCATATATCTTTCTTCCTCTAATTATTGCATTATAAAACATGGGTAAAGAATTCTTATTATTATTAGATTTATTCCAATATTATGTTCCTCGATTGAGCGGGCAATCATTAATCTTCACTGCTAACGTGTTACGTTTGCTTAAACGTTAGAGAGTTTAAACGTTATANAAACTTTATAGAGTTAAACACTATATATTTTATACATTACATCGTTTAAGTGCTATGTTGTTTAAATTCTACATAGTTTAAACGTTATATATTATAAACTATATATGGTTTAAACGTTATACATTTTAAATGAAAAGTTTAAACATTATATAGTTTAAACTATATATAGCTTAAACATTATATATTTTGAACGATATATAGTTTAAACGAAATATATTTTAAACTATATGTAGTTTAAACATTATATAGTTTAAACGATATACTGTATAGCTTAGACATTATATATTTTGGATGATACATAGTTTAAACGATATATATTTTAAATGCTATATAGATTAAGCTATATATTTACACGATATATAGTTTAACCGTCATTCTCGTCCGCGTTTCCCCTCAGACGAGCGGCACGCCCCCCTCGCTGGCAGACGACCCTCGAATGTTCCAGATGGTGCAGGGCGAGGGCGGCGGCATGCAGCTCGTTCATCATGGCTCAGGTCAGTTATATGTCGAAATTTTTTTAAAATATTGTTACTAAATTATTAAGTTCCTTATTTTAGGAATAGATTTCTTCTAAATTTTATTTGGCAATGCACGCAATGAAAATAGTGATACAAAAGTAAAAAAATTTTGTGCGTTGAAATTCAACATTGTTTTACGGATTCTCTATTGCCAATGCACGCAATAACAGGCGTATTTATTAATAAAGTAAAGAAATTCATAATTTTTTTGCTAATGCACGGAATAAAAGGGTGTTACTAATGTAAATAAATAAAGTTGAAAATGAATATTTTCTTGTAGATTCTATATTGTTGATGGACGCATTTTAAACATTATTGATTTTGTTATTGGTTGTCCAGGACTGGCGGTGAGCCACGCCGGCGCGTCGCTTACCCTCGTCACCCTCACGTCGCGACCCTCACTGGAGCTTGAATTTAACCTTCTGCCCTGTGGGTCGTAGCGCTGGGTTGTGACTTGCAATCTCGTTTTAATTAACGTGGAAAAAATCTATGTCTTGAGTTAATTGTAGAATTTTCTGTGAAAATGGGCGTGTGATTGTTAAATGTCATGAATTTTGCAATTCTTTCTATGAAATTTTTAGTGAAACGTCGTGGTGTCTTTAGCACAAAAACTAGATTTTTCTGGCCATTTAAATTAATTTAATGTTAATATTTATAGAATGTATACATTTCTTAAAATTCTCCTTCAAAGAATGTGTTTTAAATTATAATTTTCCGTTTAAATAAAAATTTTGAGAAATGAAATTAATAACACAAGAGCGATGCGAGGAATGAAAGTGTTGTGCAAAATAAATACGTTATGAAAAATAAACATCTTGTGAAAGATAATAAACATATTGTGGAAAATAAACGTTTTGTAAGAAAAAAAAACGTGTTGTAAACGTTAGGTTAGGGAAAAAACAAACACCACGTGTCGTAGGAATATATATACTTGGTAATGACAGTACATGTTATTGATTTATAAAAAAGTTTTCTGTACATCACTTCGTATGACCTTTGTTGCGGTAAATTTCAGCGCAACTAAATCCTTCGTACACCAAAAATAAAGTGTTCTGCTTACATCCATCAATAAGATATCTAGCTTATCTCCAACAGCAAAATATCCAGCTTAGCCCCAAAATTACGATGTCCAGCTTATAAATAACCAGACATAAACAGGTTAAAATTCTGCCGCTTCATTTTTACCAGGTTTTCCATAGACAAAATGTTAGAAAGGTTCATTTCTGCTGATGAGCAATATTCTTCGGCCGCATTGTGTTCAAGGGACATTGCATTGATTCTAACTTATGTACAAATCCTCATTTAAATATATTTTATTATCATTCCTATTTCGTCTATATTATTCCAAAATTATACCAACTAAGCTATGTACACAAAAGCTTTGAGGGAAAACTGCATAAATGACATGGCGCGAGTAAAGCATTAAGATAAATGTGATCGATTAAGATGAATGGGAGCATTAGAATTAATGTGATGCATTAAAATAAGTGTGAAGCATTGAAATAAATGTTAAGATAAATATGATGGATTATGACCAATGTGATGCATTAAGATGAATGTGATGGAATCAAACGAAAGTGATGTACTAAGATGATTAAGATGATTGAGGATATGAGTGATGCAGTAGAAGGAAGATGGTGTAAAGTGAAGCAGAAGATGGCGGAAACTGAAGCAGAGAAGAGACGTGAATTGTCGCGAATGCATTAATAGCGCACAAGTGTGTCAGTAATAGCGCACAAGTGGGTCAGTAATATCGCACAAGTGTGTCAGTAATATCGCACAAGTGTGTCAGTAATATTGCACAAGTGTGTCAGTAATATTGCACAAGTGTGTCAGTAATATCGCACAAGTGTGTCAGTAATAGCGCACAAGTGTGTCAGTAATATCGCACAAGTGTGTCAGTAATATCGCACAAGTGTGTCAGTAATATTGCACAAGTGTGTCAGTAATATTGCACAAGTGTGTCAGTAATATCGCACAAGTGTGTCAGTAATAGCGCACAAGTGTGTCAGTAATATCGCAGGTTTGTGTATGACACTGCGATGTTACACCCAAAAAAATTAGTGTTACTTAGTACGAATAGCGATCAAATACAAATAGTGTTACTTAGTACAAATTTTGCGTATGTGTGGGTAAATTTTTACCCAGTTTGTCCCTGCCAACGGGCATAAAAGTGCTACTTCAAGAAATTGGGCCACTATTTAGACAATGTGACCCATTTATTTTTCTACGATATTGAAGGTTATTTAGAGCGACCCGAAGAACTAATCCCGTGTAGCTATCCGAAGTGTCAGAAGCAATAAGAATAACAACAACAACACAGCAACACACAGAGGAGTCTTTCATAAGCGAGCCTCTAGTACAGCACTCGTATGGCCATGTGAACATCACACAGATGTGTTCTTGTATATCGTGCGCCCAATGTTCCTACGGCCGCCTTGTTTGTTTGTGTTCTGTAAGCCAACTACGGGTTTGTTTTGTATTTTCCATTGTTCCGACTACAAAACTTGTATTCCACACAGGCACTTGTATACTTGTATATTTTGCATCTAATATTGGTTATATATAATTGTTTTGTGTTCTGTATGTTCATTTTCCTAGTATACGAATATTAAGCGTTTCAAGTTGAAGCAAGATGATCCAGTATAGATCTCAAGTTCCATATATTTCTTTCATTGTATGTGTATCTGTGTATTCTGATATGACCTTGCACCACAAACGAGTATGTGTACTTGTATATTCTGAGTATTGAGTTCGGGGAGGCTGCGCTTAGGCCTCTTTTGAGTGCATGAAATAGGCGTTGTGTAGAGTGTGCATACGTCAGCCTTGTGTGGAGTGTGTGTTTGTATTAGTGCATTCTGATTACAGGCCTTTACACTGCGCTGGTGTCTTTGTATATAGCGTTATGTGAGAGTGTGACTTGATAATGGTTCGTTGTTCGGGTAAGTTTGAAGATTTCCATTGAAATTTGACGTTGGGTTTTGTTAATTAATGAGAGAGGTAATTAATGAGAGAGGTAATTAATGAGAGAGGTAATTAATGAGAGAGGTAATTAATGAGAGAGGTAATTATGAGAGAGGTATTGAATGGAGATGAGTTAAGTAATAGAGGTGCAATGTTTATTCTGGGGCATTTTGTTGCAACACAGGGAACAGTTACAGAATGTGTAGAAGAAACATTTGAGAAAAATTTTCAATAATGTGATACTATACATTTGAGATAAAGTCATAGCCTATTAAAAGATTAAGTACAGGGCCTTAGTAATTAAGTGTAGTATAGGGGCAGGTATGATGCGACCAAATCACGCTTCCGAAATGAACTATTCAAATTTAACGATTTGTTACGCCATAAAAATATACACTATAGCCGCGCACCACCCACACGATCACAGCGGACCACATTTAAATTAAAACCTACTTAAAGCGCTAATAAATTGCTCATTAAATATGATTAAATGCAATTAACACTTCATAATAGCGGCTAATTTGGTATTAGTTGATGTTACGCACTCGGTACCTAATGGTACATGAAATCTACAAATGGTACTCGATCACATAATGGTTGGGATCCATTGCCCTACAATAATGTAAGCGAAGGTATTCACCTACTTCATGAATGTACAACACTAACTTTAAGTACAATAAATGCCCAGCAAGTGGATAAGTGAAGTAACTCTTCCTGAAAATTTGCCTGCTTATTACTTGTATTTGTGTAAGATATATTAGCACACAACCCAAATAAGGACGAGAAAAACCAACACAAACTTGTCGGTTTGAACGTGGAACGAAAAATTGTCCAAGTCCGAAAATTTCAAATGTACAAATAAATTGAAGTTTGAAAGTTAGTAGAAGTTTAAAATCTACCTTACAAAATTAACGATATTTATACCAAATTTTGGGTCCAAGCACTCATTCATCACAAGGGTAAATGTCGAATTCGATGGTAGGATTGTACCGTCCTGGGTGGTCGACGAGTGAGAGGCTCCCCCCGCTGTGACACACGTATTTCCCTGAGTGTAAGAGGGCATCATAAGAATGAAGATAATTTTACTGGTAAATCACTTATGACAAATTCAAGCAATAAATTTTAATGAGACTTTTTTGCAATGTTTTTAAAACACAGCAGGATTTACTGACAAAAAACTTTCAATAACAAAAGCTTGCAAGCTGCCGAGTCCAGTTGACTTACCTAATATAATCGGAGTGTTGATGTAACCACATTAAACGCAATATATAAAAATTAATCGATCTAATGATGAAAATGCATTAAGTCGCTCATCAGCCGCAGAGATACCTCATCGAGGTGAACACGAGAGAGGCAAGTCAAACGACGTGTTTTTAAGTTTTACCGGTTGCCAACACCGGTAATTACAGACATGCAGCCTTAATTAAGTTGTCATGGTGAAGAAGGTGGTGGCCAAGAGGCTGGTGAACTATACATAAAAGAGGCTGATTAGACTACATGGTTTCCGTCAAGGCCGCTGAGACATACTTTTCACAAGTAAATATAATAAAATGGTTGTTTGGTTATTATTCTGTGGTTGTTAACCTCCGAATACGGACGGACTTTCCCGAAGTAGGCTGGCGTTGACGAGGTGAATTTTGACAAAGCATTGAAAAAAAATACAATTGATTACCTCCCAATGAATTTGAGTGATTAAGGGTGCTGGTGAGCTTTTTAATGCGATCCTCGACTCCTTGACTTACATAGAATAAGCTGTTGTTGATGACACGTGAGGGACTGAGCCATGCTTATGCATCGTCATTTACGAAAGAGATCCATTAAGTATGGTTGATGATTACGGCCGAGCCTGACCGCGAAATATATCAGAGAGATTTGGCCACTGCATGCAACTGAGTGACTAAAATGGCATTGAACGGTCGAAAGTTTGAATTATCGGGAGACACAGGTAGTGAGGGCCTGGATATGAAGGAATAAATAGACAGAAGTGGCGGGCGATATAGAATTTTCAGCCTAAAAAATTCACATGTCGTTAAAGAAAAGAGAGAGGACTTATTAAGAGAGAGACCTTATTACAGAGAAACCTTATTACAGAGAGACCATGCATAAAGAGAAAGACCTTATTACAGAAATTGTGAAAACCAGACATTCCTCGAACTCTTAAAAGAAAAGGAAAATTTCCCCATCAGACCCATATCCCCGTCGGCTGAGTATCCTCATCAAACAACAGAGATGCAGTCTAAGTTCAACCAATGCGAGAATGATCACTTTCTGCCAGATAGGTGAGTTTGTTCAATAACTTGATCTGGCAAGAAGGAACATAGACGAGGGAGACCTTTGTGGGACGACCGTGTTGTCCGATACCTCATTGCTGCCTCACTATTTTCAGCAACATGAACAAAACAACAGCATCCTTCATCTATTCCAACAACTGATGGCTGATGCGCTTTTGTTACGTTCAACTGCCTCCACGACTTCAAAATCCGGACAGATCTGCCTGCGGGCGGCAGAAGGACGGTGGAAGAAGAATGCAGACCACCAGAACGGCCGAAGCCGTTCAAAACTTTTGTCGAGGTTCTATAAGGCAGCTGCGCTCGTACGAGAACTCACCCATTTGCTGGTAAACGATGCTGCAGGGCTTACCCCAAAACTCACCCGTCTGCAGATGGACGATGTAGCTGCGCTCACCCCCAAAACTCACCCGTCTGCAGATGGACGATGTAGCTGCGCTCACCCCCAAAACTCACCCGTCTGCAGATGGACGATGTAGCTGCGCTCACTGTCGCTCGGGATGAAGGAGAAGAAGCGTGCGTCGATGTTGCTCACAGCCTGCACGCTCACGGTGCTCACGGTCACACCTAGGAGGGAGCGCCCATGTGCTCCTGAGAGGGCGCTCACGAAGTGACCCCCGCGGGGGGATTCCAGCATCACGGACTGACCTCCCCCACCACCCATCGTTGGGGGAACTCGGAATGTGTGCACACGCACGCAACCTGCGAGGAATTAACGTGTAAGTGGATCAACGATCGCAGAATTTGGTACTTTAAGAAAACTTTAAGTCGTTTAAGGTTATCCAATGTGTTTATTTTCAATCGAAAGAATTGGTTGTTCTATTTATTTAAAATTAAATTACAATTAATAACTGGCAAATTCCTCTTAAATAAACCAAAAACAGATTGAAAACTATGATAGGTTGTCACTTGTAGCAGGAATCATCATCAGACAACGCAGCTCTGGACAAATGACAGCCACCCCACAAACGCCTCAACACTATCGTCAAGACAATTAACACATTACTTCACTATCAACACGACAAACATCCGTTCACTACTTTCACTACCAACACCCATCACCAGCAACAACATATCGCCATATCAATCCCCGCCAGTTATCGGTGCCTCCATTTCATCCACCGTCTTCACTGTTAGTGCTCTCCTCTCACCACCAGTGCCACCTTCCCCTCCTCCTCTCACCATCGTTGCTACCACACCAGACACAGCTTTTCACCATCTGTGCTCCACCTCACCATCACTCCCCTTCTCATCTCAATCAATGCCACCACTCCTCCCCTTCCTCACCGTCAGAGTCAGCACTAGGGTACCCCAGCGCGAGGGTGTCGGTACCACCAGCTCCCCCACCACCTGGTCGCAGCAGAAGGGCGTGGTTCGACTCCCCGGCCACGATTATCCTGTAGAGGGCGCTGCTCGTGTGACGAATTCGCGCCTCCTGCGTCTGCACCCCCTCCAACCGCACGCCTGCGCAAGCCAAGGATGAAGTTAGGTGTATGGGGGTAGTAAAAGTTTTTGTTATAAGTTATTAGTTTGACGTTAGGTGTGATTGATGGTGGTGTGGTGTGATGGAGGTAGTTTCGTAGGTAGGGTGGCATAGTTTAGGTTTATAGGATAAGTTCCCTAAGTGGTTGTGTAATGTGATGGAGTTAGTTTGATGTCATATGTGCATGAGTGCATCTGCACCACATCAACCAAACACCTAGGCAAGACAGGAACAAGTTATGTGTAGGAGTAGTTAAGGTGACTGGGTTTAGTGTTGTGATGGGGGACGGTGTGAATATATGGCGGTAATCATAAGTTAAATTTGATTAGGTGGTGGATACTAAGGATTGAGTGCATGGTAATATGATGTGATGGGGTTAGTTTGAAGTTGGGAGGTGTGGTAGTGCGATAGACTACATATAGACGTCTAAAGACGGAACTATTTCGTAGAGCCTATGAATCTAGTGCTTAGTCATTTTATCCGTTCTCATCATTTCTTGTGTCTATGTATTTTATTACCACGTTTATCTTAGTTTCGCTTCGTGTCTGTCTGTCATTAAACATTCAAACCTTAATTTAGAGTACTTCTGAAGATCCCAGAAAAATGAAATTTGGCATGCATGCTTATGCTGCCTAACAATTCAAGATTTGATCATCAGAAGTAATAATTTTAAATTTTTTTATTAAAAAATGATTAAAAAATAATAAAAAATCACGGTTGGGAATCGAGTTTTTTTGTCGAACAACCAGACTTGCCAACACTGGAAAATGATTTGAATTGCTAAAATTGCTAAACTAAAATGTAGAAAATATATATAAAAAACATTTTTGAAAACCACGTTTTTCTGGTGGTTACAAAACTAAAAACAATTAAATAAAACAAATAAAAAAAAGCTTTCAAAAACCACGTTTTCTTAACGGACAAAAAATAAAAAACATTAATTCTTACATAACATTCTACATAACTTTAATGTTATGTGAGGAAAAGTTTTTCTTTTTTGTCCGTTAAGAAAACGTGGTTTTTAAAAGCTTTTTTTATTTGTTTTATTTCGCTCGCTATTAATCTTATGTGTGACGTGCCCTTGATGTTTGTTTGATCCAGACGACAAGCTAAATGCTTCGTAGAATAATAATAAATAAATGTAATAACCATTTTTAAAAACCACGTTTTCTTAACGGACAAAAAAGAAAAACATACTCTTACATAACATTACATAACATTTTACATAACTTTAATGTTATGTAAGAGTTAAAGTTTTTTCTTTTTTGTCCGCTAAGAAAACGTGGTTTCTAAACGTTTTTTTTTTATTTGTTTTATTTCATTGTTTTTAGTATTTTAAAGAACAGAAAAACGTGTTTCTTAAAAATTTTTTTATATTTATTAATTTTCTACTTTTTAGTTTGGCAATTTTAGCAATTCAAATCATTTTCCAGGGTTAGCAAGTCTGGATGTTCGACAAAAAAAAACTCGATTCCCAACCGTGAATTTTTATTTCATTTTATTTTTATTTTTTACTTTTTTTATTATTATTACTTCTGATGATCAAATGTTGAATTGTTAGGCAGCATAAGCATGTATGCCAAATTTCAAGTTTCTAGGATCTTCAGAAGTGCTCTAAATTAAGGTTTGAATTTTTGATGACAGACAGACACGAAGCGAAACCAAGAAAAACGTGGTAAAAAAGTGGTAATAATAACAATAATAGGGTAGTTTTATTTGTAGAGGGAGTAAAAGTGACGAGGTGGGGTGATGTTAGATGACGAGGGTAGTTTGATGTTGTGGAGTAGTGGCGTGATGAGTAGTTAAATGTTATATGTGACTGGAGGTGGTGTGGTGTGGTGTGGTAGTAGTTTGAAGTAATGCGATTGGATGGGGTGTGATGCGTGATGTGATGGGATAGTTCGATGTTTTATGTGATTGGTGGTGGTGTGATGTGATGAGGTAATTTAATGTTATATATGGTTGTAGGTGGTGTGGTGTGGTGTGGTGGGGCAATTTAACATGATTTCTGGAGGTGTGGCGTTTTGTGACTCAAATTCTGACGAAGAGAAGTTGTGGCAAGGGCAAAGAAGATCAAGGTAGTAAATTACAATTAAAAATTCAGGTCTCGAACCCGGATCTCAGACTCAGTCTTCGTCAACCTGCATATACCTTGTTTTCTGGGACGTGGTTGATTTACTGATGAACCAAGGGTTGAAGAAGAGTGTGGTGGAGTAACGGGGGAAAATCATACAACTGTGTGGTAGCGGTTAATAAAAATGTAGCAAATAAATAACCCAATTTAAATCGATATAGAATGATATATTGATAGGCCTTTTTTGTTACAAAGTTCCGAAAATGCTTCAAGAGCTGGAGTCCGAAGAAAAAATTAAAGCTTGTCTCCGTTAAAGCAGGTTAACAGACGGGTGCCAATAAGTAGACGGTTGGTAGATTCGCTGACAGACGATCAGACGTTTAGACAGGATGACAGACAACGACAGACAATAAAGAACTCACCGTTCGATTCACACGCCGTCGCCTGTCTTCTGTCTCCGATGACACTCAACAACACGACTGATGGACAGACGGTATTTAGAGGCAGGTGAACTGTCAGAGGGCTACCGTCAATCAGACGATATCTAATCTCTAGTAAACTATTATAGGACTTTCATCTCAAAGATGGTATTGACAGATTGAAAGGCGATTTTCGAAGGAAATGCGATTTTTGAGAGGAGTTTTGTTTGTTCTAGCCTACATTTGCAAGTGGAATGGGTCTCCAACTGATGCAAGATGACACCGGGTGAAGTGTGTTAGGGGAAATGGGTGGTGATTTCCAATGGATTAGATGTAAACATTATTTAAGACAAATTACGTCGAATGATAGATCCTATGAATGATTGAATGGGAATGTCTTTGAACGTATTAGTTGATCATTGATACGAGTGATTTAAGGTAAATGACTTAAATGTATTAGTTAATACGAATGATTCAAGGCAAATAATCTGGAATGCATTAGCTAATGTGAATGATGACGAATGACTTGAAATTCATTTGCTAATATAAATAATTTAAGACAAATTACTTGACATACATTAGTCAATATGAACAATTTGAGGCAAATGTCTTTTAATGCGTTAGTGGTTGGTGGGTTCATGCTTCATACAATGAATGATATACATGGTTCATACAATGATATACAAAAGCCTTATAACTTCTTATAATTTTGTATAGCATCTGTTGGCAACTGCCGACAGACGGTACAAATGATGTAGTCATACCAAACATACATATTATGTCTATGCGTTATAGATATCATGTATTATGGATGTGGGAATTTAAATATCAACGAATAAGTGAGAATGCTTCATGAATTTGTGAGCAAATCCAATTATTAATGGTGAGTAATTTGCCTGTATTTTCTGGATAAGAAAATGTAGGAATGATGTTGTGCGATAGAATGAAACTAAGGTAAAATGTCTTCAGAAGATATCTTCCATAATATTTGCCATAATTTGATGCTATGAATGTAAATATTGATCTCAACGTTATAATAAGTATTTCACTTTATAATATACTCATTTCTGCATCACAAGTGCTGTTATTTCGCTCCGTGGAGAACATACCAGTAAAAACAAGCGTCCCAATTTTCTAGGGCACAGTAGTGATCCTGTCCAACCGACCAAGAGCTTGTTTACTAGGAGATAACACATGATTAACCTAACCGCATGATATGCACAGCAGACCACCGCACGTCAGTCATCTATGAACGCTGAGCGAACACTGACCAACGTCACCAGTCACCACCCGGCACCAGCTGCCAGCTCGCCGCGACTCAAGAAATTCTTGAGATTGCATCGGGAATCTTGATATTTCGGATATTATATCTTGATACCCATACAAAATTATTGTTACCTTGCTTCTATACTGATTTAATAATTTTTTTAGTGATAGCAGTAAACCCTGTCCCAACTTCTAAGTTTGAAGACAACATAACTTATACTTCAAAATGCTGATTGGTAAAGTTACATAAAATGGAATCAAGTTTCTGTATTATTCTGTAAACTTTAAGAAATTTCGTGCGTGGTGGCAACGCTGCCTGACAGAATAGGCCATCATTTGGCACCCGCGTCACGCGCTTCGAGTGATGATCAAACCATCGCTGAACCATCATGCGTGGTAATTACCTCCATCACCACCACCGCCTCACCTGCCTCCTCCATCACCACAACCGCCTCACCTGCCTCCTTCACCACCACCACCGCCTCACCTGCCTCCTCCATCACCACCACCGCCTCACCTGCCTCCTCCATCACCACCACCGCCTCACCTGCCTCCTTCACCACCACCACCGCCTCACCTGCCTCCTTCACCACCACCACCGCCTCACCTGCCTCCTTCACCACCACCACCGCCTCACCTGCCTCCTTCACCACCACCACCGCCTCACCTGCCTCCTTCACCACCACCACCGCCTCACCTGCCTCCTTCACCACCACCACCGCCTCACCTGCCTCCTTCACCACCACCACCGCCTCACCTGCCTCCTTCACCACCACCACCGCCTCACCTGCCTCCTTCACCACCACCACCGCCTCACCTGCCTCCTTCACCACCACCACCGCCTCACCTGCCTCCTTCACCACCACCACCGCCTCACCTGCCTCCTTCACCACCACCACCGCCTCACCTGCCTCCTTCACCACCACCACCGCCTCACCTGCCTCCTTCACCACCACCACCGCCTCACCTGCCTCCTTCACCACCACCACCGCCTCACCTGCCTCCTTCACCACCACCACCGCCTCACCTGCCTCCTTCACCACCACCACCGCCTCACCTGCCTCCTTCACCACCACCACCGCCTCACCTGCCTCCTTCACCACCACCACCGCCTCACCTGCCTCCTTCACCACCACCACCGCCTCACCTGCCTCCTTCACCACCACCACCGCCTCACCTGCCTCCTTCACCACCACCACCGCCTCACCTGCCTCCTTCACCACCACCACCGCCTCACCTGCCTCCTTCACCACCACCACCGCCTCACCTGCNAGACAGACATAATATTACCGTCTGTTGAGGGACATAATGTTACCGTCTGTTGAGGGACATAATATTACCGTCTGTTGAGGGACATAATTAACCGTCTGTTGAGGGACATAATATTACCGTCTGTTGACATAATATTATCGTCCAAATAAATATTCAAATCACACACATCCCCCGGACTAATATTCCAGCAGAGGACAGGCTGCCCTCACCTCGCCAGCACCGCGCCCACGCGACTGGCTCCCCTCGGGGCGAGGTGTCCTCATTTCCCCTCGTGGCAGCGAGGGTATCTACCTATCTTGAATTATCTTAACATATCTTAACCTATCTTAGCATATCTTAACCTATCTTAACATATCCAAACATATCGTAACATATCATAACATATCTTAATTTATCTTAACACATCTTAACATATCTTAGCTTATTTTAATATATCTTAACATTTCTTAACATATGTTAACCTAATCTTGCATATCCTAGCATATCTTAACATATCTAACCTATCTTAACATATCCAAACATATCTTAACATATCTTAACCTATCTTAACCTATCTTAACCTATCTTAACCTATCGTAACATATCCAAACATATCTTAACATATCTTAACATATCTTAACCTATCTTAACCTATCTTAACCTATCTTAACATATCCAAACATATCTTAACATATCTTAACTTATCTTAACCTATCTTAACATTTCTTAGCATATCTTAACCTACCCTAGAATATCCTAACATATCTTAACCTATCTTAACTTGTATTAACTTCTGTTTACTTGTATTTACTTTTATACTTAATAAACAGTATATTTAACTAATATTTGAGTAGGACTTCGCTATATATAGGGATATATATAATTGACTATTAACGCGATTATCGCTTTTGTTGCATGATTTCTTAAAGCATTAAGAGTTAATGAAAACGACATGATTGATAATAATTTTTTAACTTATCATGAAGCTGGTTTTCTAAACGCTCCCAAACGCGACACGATGAATTCATACACTTTTCTTCCCCTGTGCATTCATTTTTAAGGATATTCCAGAGAAGGGAAATATAATTGTACCGTTTGCAGGCAGATGTGAGTAAAACATAATCTAAGTGAGACATAAGCAAAAAATTCCGCAAAAAGAAGATTATATTTTTTAAATAAATTGCTAATTTATCTTATAACAAATAAAACTGGGGGTGTCGGGGAGGGCTTAGCGCCATGTCATGCAGCTGATAGCAGGGCAAGGCACACGGTTCAGGCTAGTTCATTGTTGCATGACACGCACGATTTAGAACAATTGTTGCATGTTACGCACAGCTCAGACTGATTGTGGCGTAATGCGTACGCTCAGAACGATCATACACGACACTGGCATGAACGTGTGCAGTTGTTTCAGCAAGACTAGGGATTTGAATCTTAGGGTTTTTCAATTCGAAATAACTCTTTCTATATAATCGAGCTCATTTATCATCATCACACTCGCATATAATCGCCCGCACCTAAATCGCACTCGAAAATCATCACCCTCACATCCAATCACTCTATTCAATCGTTAACATATTGCATATTCACATATACACAAAATATATATTCCAATTCAATACTGTGTCACAGTTCGCTTATAATCAACTGCACACTTAAAACAACCGTCTTACATATTACCTCCTCAAATAATCATCATCAAAAATAAAAAATAAACTGCTAATCATGAGGACACTTTTAATCTGCAATGCCACTCACGAGTGCCAGTGCCACTCCGGCACTCCTGCCGTGTTCGGTATGGGTGCCATCAGGCTGAGTATCACCCACGTTGAGTGGCAGGCTGCGGATGAACTCTAGCAGGGTGACGTGTGACCAGCAGTCAACACTCATGTCATTCACGTGGGTGATGCGGTCACCCACCCTGGGTAATACTTTATTTATATACACAGCATTTACGTTCATTATTTATATCAAGTTTACGCAGTAAAATGACATTCCCAAAATTAGATTAAAAGATAACTGAATTATGAAGCGCCACCTTGGTAATACCGACAACATCTNACTCACTGCAGTGAGTGACAGAGAGCGTATTTTCTCGTCGACGAAAACTTGAGGTCACGGACGGACAGACGGACGGACATGACGAGCAAAATAGTGCATTTTTTCCCTAAATGAGAAAATGCGCTAAAAATATAACTCAGTACTCACTGCAGTGACAGAGAGCGCATTTTCTCGTCCGTCCGTCCGTGAAGTGACGGACGGACGGACATGATAAGCACAAAGCGCCTTTTTAGCGCATTTTCCCATTTATGGAAAAAATGCACTATTGTGCTCGCCATGTCCGTCTGTCTTTCTGTCTGTCTGTCCGTCCGTCCGTCCGTGACCTCAAGTTTTCGTCGGAGAGAAAATGCGTTCTCTGTCACTCACTGCAGTGAGTACTGAGTTATATTTTTTCCATAATTGAGATAATGCGCTAAAAACAAAAAAAAAAATCACGAAACGAGATGAGAAAACATGGGAGAGCACACAGCAAGGTTAGACTAAACCAATTTTCTATCAATAGTGTGTGAGACTACAATAAAGTATACTTAAACATAGATACAACTGTTATTGAGCACACCTAGCAGCATCAGAGGTAATGAAATATTAAAGCCACTAATTATAAAAATTCTATAGAAATACTCAGACATCAAAAAATCTGTGTTCTAGTTCCGAAGTTCCTATTGCAGCAAACTTTCATATGATTTAATAAACAAACTAAAACTGAATTAAAAACCTAATGATCTAATAAAAAACTTTCAACAGTTGCATGTGTTCAACTATATAACTAAAACTAAAACAAAACTAAAACTGAACTAAAAACCTAATGATCTAATGAAAAAAACTTTCAACAGTTGCATGTGTTTAACTAAATAACTAAAACTAAACTAAAACTAAACTAAAACTGAACTAAAAACCTAATGATCTAATAAAAAAACTTTCAACAGTTGCAGAAAGCTCACCGATGTCCCTTCAAAGACTTGAGGTTCTGCTTGGCCGCGTCGCTCACAAACTTCTCCTCGAGTTCCTTGTTGCGCGACTCCCCGGAGCTGATGGTGAACACTATGTTCATACGCGACCTGGACGTAAAAGTCAGGATTTAATATGTGTTGGTGATTAAATTTTATAGTTAAAACACGGATTAAATGCGGAGCTGAAGTTTAGTTAGTGGTGTATGGATAAAAAAGATTCAGAAAATAATATAAAATTAATAACACGTTTTGTCTACGGCGCTGCAGTGCAGGGAGAGCAGACAAGCGTTTCGTTTAGACCTCGCACAGCGTTGCAGTAGAAGCTTCTACCGCCGTCAATAAGGTTATATGTTTGCGTGATTAGACCCACCTATACTTGGGGTCTACAGCGTTGCAGTAGAAGCCCCCGCTGCCGTCTATCAGACCCACCTATACTTGGGGTCTACAGCGTTGCAGTAGAAGCCCCCGCTGCCGTCTATCAGACCCACCTATACTTGGGGTCTACAGCGTTGCAGTAGAAGCCCCCACTGCCGTCTATCAGACCGTATATTTGCGAGCTTTTGACGTCACTTCGCTTGGTGAGCTCCTGGAGGCCGCCCTGCCCCAGCGCCCACGCCAGCACCTCCGCGGCCACGTGAACGCTGCAACCAATATTAATAATATTAATTAATTTTGGTGTTATTTATAACTAATAAAATATTGACGGATGCTACAACCAATATTAATAATATTA